TTGGCCTCAGATATATGTTACATAGAAAGTAACACTATTCGATTCCACGGCCAAGTCATGCAACTCGATTGATGCATGACTCAAAATACAATTAAAATCGTGTATAGTGTTATTTAATATTACGAACTAAGTCGAATTTCAGACAAATGAGTACACTATATTGCATAGTCTTTTATTCGATCACAATCCACAGTCTATTTAAAGGCAGCTACACTCAAATTTTAAGAGAAACCAACTACTTATCTATATCTAAAGTAACAAATTAGAGATTTCGCGCTAATGAATGCGTTTAATATATCAAGAGAGACGAGAAATACACATGAAGGTGAAACCCCATAAAATTACATAAATAGACATCCAAGTGGATATAGCTAAAGATAACAAGGTGGTAAGGATCATGAAAAGTAAGATGAGTCTTGATGCTGCTGCCATCCCATTAGATCTAGTCTCAATCAACATAAGTCGTAACATTGCTAATAGAAAGAAAAATCAAAAGACGTTGAAACTCAGATTATTCTTTGTATTTTTCCTTTGTGCTCTTTCTGCTCTTCATAACACTTTCAAGCAGGGAAAGGCATTCAGCCAAAGCATCCATATCCAGGGTTTCAAAATCATTCTGTTGTTCATGTACACTTCATTGATAGTGCATCATGTTGCAATTCCCAAAATCGTTGGTTTTATCTTTCTTAGTCGTGAAATTAAAAATTTAAACCTTCTTCTCATCTCCCCTCTTAGACAAGCGCGTAAACAGTCTTCTTTTTTCTCTGCGCGTTCACAAGTTTGAGGGGTTGGGGTACCCACCTCCAACGACTTCGTAGAAAATCGTTTGTAGAAAATGTTGATGGGTAGATATCAAATAAAGTGGATTTTGATGTTGCACAACTTCTTACTAATCCTGGACTAAGGAAGAAGATGATCATCTTATTGGTGGTCGCTGTGCCATTTTTAGTATTGTCGTAATATTATTAAATCTATGACTGAAAAGTCCGACCTTGATTAAATTTTTCCCGCGTTTAACAAAATTCATGGCTTCCCTCCTGAAGGGTCTAAATTTTATATTCTTAAATTGGTTGATGTAGCCCATTTAAAAAACGAGTTATGGAAGCTCGGCCAGTTTAAATGTTATATAAATTCAAGCCATAAGTTATTTAAAAATCTAACAATTGAAGACATTAAGTTTAAGTAAATTTGATTACAAAAATTTATTAAATAAATAAGTTGCCGCATTGGTTATTTGTATGTTATTTTATATAGGTAACCCAAGTTCGAATTAACATGCACATGTTTTTATAAAATTATTTTGAGTTTTAAACTCCTCATATTGCACATTAAGTTAATTGGATGTAATAATTATTTTATTAGTGAGCATTCAAAGAGAGATTAAAAATAATATGAATAGTTCATTTTTCTCTATTTTTCATTATGTAAATATTTTATAAAACTTTTTAAAACAATTATTTTTTATGGCTTTCAAGCTTTTTAAATTCCTGTTAAAGACTCAATTTAACAAAGTTAGTGATAATATACCTCTCCCATTTAGTTTTTACTAAAAAGGAGGTTACAAGAGGATGAAAGTCACATTTTTACTACACCTCTTCTTAAATCCAAATTTACTCTTATTTCCTTTCAAAAATATTTTTTATGTTAAATTCAGTTTAAAGGAATAACAAGGGTGTGAAGGAGAAATGTTTTTACACATTTTGTTATTTCATATTTCCAAAAACTCAAGATAGGTGATGCTATGTATTTACCTTTTTTGTTCATTTGCATGCGCGTATATATATGATATGTGTTAGAATTTTTGAAGTTATGAATAAAGAAGTTTATATATGGGCAATAATTGATTTCTACGACCCCAAAGGATTCTTCGGAATCATGTGTTTTCATCTATAAGAAATGTTAAGTTCTTATTTTATTTTTTTATTTTTTATCTCTTTGTATATATGTATATATGCTTATGACCAAAAGGGTACACTATATGATATTAGTCCTACCGAGTTTAAGCTCACACTTTCTATATTGACAAATTTTTCAAATTAAATGATTGGTCGAAGAAGTGGGATTTACGTGGATTGTGGAGGATTTGAAGGGAGAAAGGTGCTTCATTTGTGTAATTTGTCACACTTGAAGAGTTTCTAGTTCTTACTAGTTATACAACTTATGTTCAATTTTTAAAAGATGTTAGTTTATCTTTCTTTAAGATTTCCTAGTTATTTTTCCTGATGTTTGTTATTTGGTTTAAGTATGCATATAATTAAAGTTGCTAAAGAAGTTAAGATTAAATATTAGACTTGTAAACAAAAATGTTTAGCTTACCATCTGAACTTTGTCATGCCATTCTGGATAGAATTCTTTGAATTTTTAGACAAAACTAGTGAGGTTTAAAAGCCCTATGAGTTTTTGTTCATTAATTTGGAATCAAGTCAATCGAAGGTTAATAGGATAAGTTATACTATTTTCCGTGTGCTATGTTCCGTTTACCCTAGTACAATTTTTTTTTTTTTCAAATGTTTGAGTGTCTGTCAGAGTACGTAAATGATATTAGAAAATTTTGAAATTTTACTATGTTGTACTTGAATGTATTTAGAAAATACTAAATTTTTTTTATAAAATTATGAATCCAATAAATGGTCCAACTAAGTTTGATCATTGGGTAGTTCGCTATTGAATTTAACTCCATTAATGCATGCTAGTTTTCATTTTATTCCTTCGTTTTAGTTTCGTTATTTACAATTCAAAGTTGTCTACCTTAAATCATTTGTTTTCAATAAATTTTAGAACTTGTAATAGAATACAAGGGTAACTAAATAATTAAAAGAAAATCAAAGAAATTTTAATTTACCCAAATTTTTGAAAGAAACAAAAGGAATATTGTTGTTTTTGTATTAATTTAGGTCGTTACTTCGGTGGTTAAGAAATGTATGCAATATATAGACGTAAGGGAAAAATTGACATTTCAAGTCATATTAACGGTGAGTTTGGATAGAAACTGTTATCAAGGATAACGGCCCCTAATTTGTTAAAAGTTGAGGATATGGGTGCCAAGACATAAAGATTGGGGATAGAAGTGCAAAAAGTTAAAAGTTTGGGATGTCAACCACAATTTACCCATTTGATAAATTGCTATTATTGATTATTTTGTTTTGATATTAAAAATCAATTTGTGTTTCAAACTTTTCATACAACATCAAGAGAACCCCTGACAACAGAAGAGCCATACATTTGATCATATGTTCTCCAACTTGGTTATTGTGATTTGATCCTATTAACGATCCCATAAATTTGATCACTACACCTTTCAATACAAAAAAATAATTTTACGTACCAAACTTTCCTTCACATATACGCGATATCATTAAGTCCCGCTTGATTTAACTAAAGAATTATAGTAACATTTAAATCAAAGTCAATAATTAATTTTAACCACATATTCTATAGAATTAACAACTATTCAACAACATATTTCATTAACTTTTATCAAAAATCTAAATCAAAGAGGGGATAAATGAATATAACTACTTCTATTTCTGCTATCACTGAAACAATGTTAACGATCCAATGTCAAATGAGATTATGTGTTTGTTCATGTTCGACCACACATTCTATAATATTACGACGTGTTCAGTCTGATACAAACAATTTATGGCGTTAATATTTTTAGATAAGAAAATATTTACTTCCAACTCATAAAACTCCTAATTAAAAGGATATGTTCAAGCTCAAGCTTTTGGCTATTTATGAAATAATATATATACATTTATTGTAACATTTAAATCAAAGTCAATAATTAATTTTAACCACATATTTTATAGAATTAACAACTATTCAACAACATTTTTCATCAACTTTTATCAAAAATCTAAATCAAAGAGGGGATAAATGAATATAACTACTTCTATTTCTGCTATCACTGAAACAATGTTAACGATCCAATGTCAAATGAGATTATGTGTTTGTTCATGTTCGACCACACATTCTATAATATTACGACGTGTTCAGTCTGATACAAACAATTTATGGCGTTAATATTTTTAGATAAGAAAATATTTACTTCCAACTCATAAAACTCCTAATTAAAAGGATATGTTCAAGCTCAAGCTTTTGGCTATTTATGAAATAATATATATACATGCATGCACTATTATCGCACATTGAATTCAACCAGGTCAAAATGCAAAATTAAACATAAAAGAGCCACAAACATGCACAGCCAACAATTCAGCCTCCGACAACGTAGGATTCTCAGAAGAATGTCACTTAGTCCACAAACCCGTTCCCATTCCATGCATCAAACATCAATCTTCGATCCAACGGTCACTTTTTTTCTCACCATTGCAACACTTCTCTCTCTCTCTCGAATCAGAAACCCAAAACTCAAAACTCATTGCCGATTAAGATTCACCGGCGTTTTTCTGTTTATTTCACTCCCTTTTTTTCAATATTCAGGCGGAACCCAGTGTTTGACCCATTACGATTTAGGTGCCAGAGTTGGTCTGAAATTAAAGGATTGGGGTTCTTGGATGCAATTAGAGATGTATCCTTTATGAAGAATTGGATGTAGTCGAGTTTTTGTTGTGTAAATTAAAATGGTATGGAACCCTTGAACTCAGTGGCTGTATTGTATCGCGTTTAATTTGTTGAGTGTGATCTGTGAATTATATACATGTTCATTTAGAATTTTCTTGAACTAATCTGATATTAGTTAACCTCTGTATCCATTTGATTGTTTAGAGGTCATATAGTACTGGGCTCTAGGAAATTAATACTGTGAGGAGTTCTTGAAACAAAAACAGCACTTATTAACTGTTTGTCAATCGAGATTAGTGTGTTTTTTGTATGCATATTGAGGTGTAGTGAAGGGTTCTTTGAGTTAGGCTTCTAATTCTCATTGGTTTGTTAATAGGATCTTGGCTATGAATAAATTACTTAACGGTTTCGTTTAAATCATGTATTATCAGTATTTTTTAAGGTTACTTTCTGAAATACCTCGTGAACTCCCAATGCAGGGCACACCGGTTAATATCATTGTCGGTTCTCATATTTGGGTTGAAGACCCTGAGGTTTCTTGGATCGATGGAAAAGTTACGAAAATAAATGGACAAGAAGTTGAGGTCCAAACATCTGATGGGAGGCAGGTAAACTAAAGTTTTTTGCATTAAACAGCTCTGTTAGTAAAACCAGTTCAGTAATCCTGAATACTTCTTGTTACATATTTTGTATCAAGGGAGTCTATTTTTTCCATTTTTTGTCTAAGAGTCCAAAATAAATTTGTACAAAAAATTACTATGCTCTAGCATTGACCATGCCGCTGTTACTTTCTATCATTAGTATTTTTTTCTATTTTTTTTTCCTATTTTTTTATTTTTTTTTTGGCTTTGGGCTGTGATTGCTTTAAAATTATACTAGTGCACAAGCCTCTTATTTGAAAGAACTATTTCTTGTTCCTTCCGTTAGTTCTACTTGTATTCGCACTAGAAGAGAGACTTGCGATGCTTAGCGTCCATGTTGTTTTTTTCTGTTTATATACAAATATATCCTTTTCTTCTTATTTACATTCTTAGTTCATTTCAGTTATGTTTCGAGTTAGGATCAACTTATATCATAATATAAATTGTTTTCGTAGCAAGTTTCTACCCGGGGACATTATTTACTTACTATTTTTGTTTGTTTGTTTTGTTTTTCCAACTTACCTAGGTTGCAGCTAATTTAGCAAACGTATATCCTAAAGATGAGGATGCACCTGCTGGTGGGGTTGATGACATGACCAAACTATCTTATTTGCACGAACCAGGAGTCTTGCAGAACCTGTCATTGAGATACCAGCTCAATGAAATATACGTAAGATTTAATATTGTAATATTCACTTTGAATTTGTGCTTGTTCTATGTTCAACCCGGTTAGAGAACATTGATTGCCGCAGCCATGGGTGGCTCTATCATAATATTTTACTCTTTAATTATGTCAGACGTACACTGGAAGCATTCTTATTGCCATCAATCCATTTCAAAGACTGCCTCACTTGTATGATGGCCACATGATGGAACAATACAAGGGCGCGCCATTTGGTGAATTGAGTCCTCACGTGTTTGCCATTGCAGATGTTGCTTTCAGGTAATTCTATGTTGAATAATCATTCTGCACTACTCTTTCATAAAAAGATCAGGCTAATTATACTAAGCTGATTGAAACAAAATAGGGCAATGATCAATGAGGGAAAAAGTAACTCTATACTGGTCAGTGGAGAAAGTGGTGCTGGTAAGACTGAAACTACTAAAATGCTTATGCAATACCTCGCCTTTTTGGGTGGCCGTAAAGGCACTGAAGGGCGAACTGTAGAACAACAAGTTCTCGAGGTAAGACAAAAAATTCCTTTATTGGTTTTATGCTTGTCAACAATGTTAAACTTTCAAGAGTATGGAATGTGAATGCCTAAATGTCATATCGGGAAAGTCTTTATGACTTTGTGGCTTCATGCAATTGTTTCAATGGTCAACTTAGGTCCATATCTTTGGTTGGTTATTGAAATTTAAAATGTCGAATTTTGATCACTGAATTTAGATCTATGTCTTTGATTGCTCACTAAAATTTAAAATGTCGAGTTTTGACCACTGAATTTTGAAAAATATTGTACATTACTCACTGAATTTTGAAAAATATTGTACATTACTTACTGAATTTTGAAAAATGTTGTAAATTACTCACTGTAAACTCGATATTTTTCAAAATTCAACAGTTATACTAGTGAATAATATACAGTATATTTCAAAGTTCAGTAGCTAAAACTCGACATTTTAAATTTTAATAAACAATCGAAAACATTGATCTAAGTTCGATGACTAAAACTCGATATTTTAAACTTCAGTGACCAATAAAAAATATAGACTTAAGTTCAGTAACCATTGGAACAATTAACTCTGAAAGCAAATACTTTATATTGTCATATCCAACATGAAGGTCGACATTGTTGTAATTTAAAGAAAACTAGGTGTTTTAGATGTATTGCTAAGTTAGTGGTAAGAAAAGATCAAACATAAAAAAACTGCATTAAACTGTTTACTTCTTTTATTGTCCAAATCCAAATTATGGGTTTTTTAATAATAAATAAAAACTTCAATAACGAACGTTAGAATGCGAAGCAAGTTCAAATTTCAGAAGTGCCCTACGGTAACTGTACTTTGGGCATATAATTTCTTGCATACACATCTAAAGTTCACTGATTGGTTCTTTGCAGTCAAATCCCGTCCTTGAAGCATTTGGGAATGCAAAAACTGTTCGAAATAACAATTCAAGGTGAGATGCTGCTCAAGTCCCGCTGTGAACTATTGCTATTTATTTGGTAGCATTTTTAAATTAACTTGGCAGCCTGTAGATTTAACGCTAATTCATTTATAATTGTGCAGTCGATTTGGTAAATTTGTTGAAATTCAGTTTGATAAGCATGGAAGAATATCAGGAGCAGCAATTAGGACGTATCTTCTTGAGAGATCTCGTGTTTGCCAAGTTTCAGATCCCGAGCGCAACTATCATTGCTTCTATCTTCTTTGTGCAGCACCACAGGAGGTTTTCTTCTTTCACAACACCATTCTTTATTTAGCTTATAATTGCGGTCGATACTCGACGAGCTTATATTTATCATCAAAGTTTTTAATCTTATCAGGAAATTGAGAAGTATAAGTTGGGACATCCTAAAACATTTCGCTATCTAAATCAATCGAATTGCTACGAATTAGTTGGTATAAGTGATGCACAGGAATATCTGGCAACAAGGAGGGCCATGGATGTTGTCGGGATAAGTCAAAAAGAGCAGGTAAAATCCGGTATTCAATATCTTTCTGCAGTCCCTTTGTTCTATCTGCACATACAAAAACCCTATTGCTCTCTCAGGACGCTATTTTCAGAGTTGTGGCCTCTATTCTCCATCTTGGCAACGTTGAATTTGCTAAGGGGAAAGAAATTGATTCATCAGTACTTAAGGATGATAAATCAAAATTCCATCTTCAGACTGTGGCGGAGCTTCTCATGTATGACTAGAGTATCTTTCGTTTTCAATATCTCCTAGCAATGTATTAGTTTCCAATTTGATTTATTTATTTATTTTTTTTTTCCGATTCTTAAGGTGTGATCTTAATGCACTGGAAGATGCAATGCTGAAGCGTGTTATGGTTACTCCGGAAGAAGTTATCAAGAGAAGTCTTGATCCTGATGGTGCAGCAGTTAGTAGGGATGGATTAGCCAAGACGATATATTCTCGCTTGTTTGACTGGTATAATGCTAATTTTATTTCTTGTTTCGTGTCTGGATAGTTTTATTCCCTGGTTCGGTCAAATTGATGCATTTATAAATATCTACAGGTTGGTGGACAAAATAAATAATTCAATTGGTCAAGATCCAAATTCAAAATGTCTAATTGGTGTTCTTGATATATATGGTTTTGAAAGTTTTAAAAGTAATAGGTAAGCATAGTTGATGATACAAAGATGATTGTGTCATTTTATTCATTAGTAATATTTCTAACCACTTACACATGCAGTTTTGAGCAGTTCTGCATTAATTTTACGAATGAAAAGCTACAACAACATTTTAACCAGGTACACAAGTTGACCCTTTTAGCAGAAGATTGTAAATCAGTGTTTCAACATATAATCGAAATACTGTGAAAATTTTCAGCATGTTTTCAAGATGGAGCAGGAGGAATACACAAAAGAAGAGATTGACTGGAGCTACATAGAATTTGTTGATAACCAAGATGTCCTAGATCTTATTGAAAAGGTTCCTCAATTTAGTATTATATTGTAATTCTATGGACTGTTAGTTACATTACTCTGAAGTTCGTGCGTGACAAAGACTTGGTGCAGAGGCTGAAACTGCCTATAAACTTGAAGTATTGCAAGGAAAACCAGTTGGCAATGCGTCAAAATTGACGTCTACCTTGCATTTGTCATTATTCCCAACTTCATAGAGATCTCCCTTCTAGATAGCTCTTGTCTGTGTAAAATCGGTATATTTTTCAAAAGCCATTATTATTATTATTTGAAGCTCAGTAACTTGCATCTTCTGCATTGTGAAGATTTGAGACATATCTTTTCAAATGCTAATCTGATGCAGTTGTTTACCATCATAACCTCTGTCAATTATGTTTTCAGTTCTTTAATTCAGTTTTGTGTTTCATTATGAAACCACAGCATCCTGAAGCAATATTTTTTATATTATTGTTTTTGCCTGGATTTTGCAGAAACCTGGAGGGATTATTGCTCTTCTTGATGAGGCCTGGTAGAATCTATAATTTAGTAACTGTGTATTCTTAACGTGCAATTTAATGGGGAACTTTTGCTTGTCTGCTCACACATAGCTAGCAAAGCATAGTTGATTTTATAATTCACATTACAACAACTAAAATTATGTTTCTTTGTAATGAATCTTTTTTTCTTTCTTGTTCTGTTTCCAGCATGTTTCCCAAGTCTACGCATGAAACATTTTCACAAAAGCTTTATCAGACATTCAAATCCCACAAACGTTTTATCAAACCAAAATTGTCCCGTACGGATTTTACAGTTGCTCATTATGCTGGGGAGGTAATCTAAATTACATATCCTGTTGTTAGTCCAGTTAAGTATTTCTATTTAGTCTTCTGGTGCATTGAAGATTTTCATTCCCTTTTCTCCTTCCAGGTTCAATACCAATCTGATCAATTTTTGGATAAAAACAAAGACTATGTTGTTCCTGAACATCAAGATTTGATATGTGCTTCCAAATGTTCATTTGTTGCTGGCCTTTTTCCTCCAATCCCAGAGGAGTCAACCAAATCTTCAAACAAGTCTTCTAAGTTTTCATCAATAGGTTCTCGTTTTAAGGTACTGTTAATATATTTTCTAACAGCTCCATGCATTGGGTTCTTCTAGAAATAGATTATCAAGGTGCACATTGCTAAAGGTTTGAGCTTATGAGATCCTTCATGTTGAAGAAGATGGAAACTCATGTTTTAATTAACTGGTACAGCTACAACTTCAACAATTGATGGATACGCTGAATTCCACAGAACCTCACTACATTAGATGTGTTAAACCTAACAACCAACTTAAACCTGCTATTTTTGAGAATGTCAATATCATGCAGCAACTACGTTGTGGTGTAAGTATGATTAAGATGCAGCTACTGAGTTTTTCCGTCATTTATAATTCATTGATTGCTTAATCAGTTAATTTTTTATTTATTTTTGTTCAACAAACAGGGTGTGTTGGAGGCAATTAGAATCAGTTGTGCCGGTTACCCTACTCGCAAGTCATTTTATGAATTTCTTAATAGATTCAGCCTTCTTGCTCCCGAGGTTTTGGAAGGGAAGTAAGTGCATCTTTATGTTCAACAATGTTGAGTTTAGGTGTTACTAATCTGCTGAACTAACACCTTCTTTATCCTATAATATAAGCAGCACTGATGAAAAAATAGCATGCAAAAAGCTTTTGGAGAAACTGGGTCTTGCTGGGGCTCAGGTGATGATAATTTTATTTTACTGATGACAAAATTTGTTTTATTTATTAAGTATCAAGCAAAGGAATCTATAATTACTCAATTTGCCCTTATATATATTTTCTTTCCGTGAGAGCAGACAAGTAAATATGCATAATGGTGGAAACTCTAATCCACTAAAAATGCAATCAAAATCATCTCGCTGTACAATAACTGTACTTCAATGTTTTTGGTGTTCCATTTATTATCTGCTTCCTTCAAAGTCAAATATTTTGGCTCGACACAGTATGCTTTCTCTCTCCAAAATGGGGCAGGGAAGGGAAAAAGATTCATTTGCTCATTTATCTGTGTCATATGCGATATTTTCTTTGATGTCCTCTTACTTTGTAATAGTTTGCCATTTTTTTAATCTAGATATACTATATTGTAGAACGGAAAGACAAAGATCTTCCTGAGAGCTGGTCAGATGGCTGAACTAGATGCCCATAGAGCACTCAAACTTAGTAATGCAGCAAAGACAATTCAAAGGAAGATTAGAACTCATATTGCTCGGACACATTTTCTTGCTTTGCAGAAGTCAGCAATTTGTATACAGTCCCTATGTAGAGGTTTGTTATGAAACATTTTGACTAGTTGAATCTTTAGAAATTTATGTTACCTGGTGCACCTTTTGTACTCTTCAGCTGACTTAAAACATTCTAGTTTATATAATACGTCCAGCCTTTTGCTGGCTTAATCTTGAGTGATTGGATTTTCATCATATATCCATAATGTGTATCTCATTTGGATTGACCATTCTTTTCCATGACTATCAGGAAGACTTGCTTGCAAAGAATTTGATCGTATGAAAAGGAAGGCTGCTTCTCTCAAAATCCAGACAAGTTTGAGAGGACTTTTGGCTAGGAAGAATTACACATCACTCAAATACTCAGTTGTTGTACTGCAGACAGGGATTCGGGCAATGGCTGCTCACAAAGAGTTTAAATATAAAAATCAAACCAAAGCTGCAACTATTATACAGGTGGCTGACTGTGTTCTTTTGGTCAAAATTTCTAGGCTAATCGATGTTTTGTCCTTAACGAAAATGATATTTTCAGGCTCACTGGCGCGGTCATAGAGCTTTTGCATACTACAAGAGACTCATACGGGCATCGATTGTGACGCAATGTAGATGGAGAGGAAAAGTTGCTAGGAAAGAGCTTCGGAAACTAAAGATGGTAGGTGGTACTGTTCTTACAGTACGACAGTATAACTATTGTACATCTATAAACTATTAGTCTCTTAACATTTGCTATGCTAGTGTATGCAATGATAGAATTTGATCCAATGGTTTAATTTAGATGCTGTTTTCATTACTTATACAGAATATTGGGATATGCATATGCCTATAGCATAATAGGGTCTTTTACCATCATTGGATATAATTACATTTGTATTATTGCCAGTTAGGTGAAGCATACGGACTGTTGTGTGGGATTGTGATGATATAGATTTGTGAAGTGAATGTACATTGTAGGTTGGACGAAATGAGATTATGTGTTTTAGATTACTACTTTATTCAGATTATGAAAAGTATTGACCATGTAAATTTTTCATCCCTGAAAATTCTTTTTATCACAGTTCTAATAGACATTTCAAAATGTGTAGGCTTCAAGAGAAACAGGTGCACTAAAAGAAGCAAAGGATAAGCTTGAAAAACAGGTGGAAGATCTTACGCTGCGTTTACAGCTGGAAAAACGTTTAAGGGTAAATACACAATATTCATGTACAAGTATATTATTATATGTTGTACAATTGTTTCCCTCATGCATGTTACAATGTTAGAATAGTTTTGTGAAGTGGATTGTTGTGTAGTTCTTAATGGTCTTCCACATATTTTTAATTAACTGAATCATGTGGGCATAGGCAAAACTTCAGTGTTATGTAGTCATGTAGCTTGCTTTTCGCTTATTACCAAAATTGAGCATATGTGCACAGACTGACTTAGAGGAGGCAAAGGGACAGGAAATTACAAAGTTACAGCAGTCTTTGCAAGCTATGCAAAGCAAAGTGGATGAAACAAATGCATTACTTCTCAAAGAACGTGAGGCCACTCAGAAAGCAATTGAAGAGGCCTCCTCAATTGTCCAAGAAACTCCTGTTCCAGTAGAAGATACAGAGAAGATTGATGCTCTAACTGCAGAAGTTGAGAACTTGAAGGTAATGCCAGTTAAATGTGATGTTATTCCCTCTCCCTTATTCTTAATCCCATTTAGCATACTCTATTATCATCCTCAAAGCTGTATATGGTCTTCTAATTCTTAGGAATTGATGCAATCGGAAAAGGAACGAGCTGATACTTCTGAAAGAAAAGCTGCTGAAGTCCTAGAATCTAGCAACGAAAAGAGTCAGAGGTTAGAAGAAACTGAAAAAAGAGTTCATCAGCTTCAAGAATCACTGAACAGGTAGCATAATTCTTATTAGTATCTTTTTGATTATCCTTATGATTGGCTTAGTGTCGTCTTTCATGTTTTTTGTTTTGAATAACTCCCATCCATTTGATTATGTTGAGCAACTTATAGTGTTGAAGATAATGTTTATTAACAACGTTCTCATATCTAATATTGGGCTGTCTATACGAGCTACAGAAGTTATTTAATTCTCTATCTATATTTAAGAGTTACATGCATTAGTTTATAACATTATAGGTAACTTGACCTCGTCACACAGAAGACGATGCATCGATGGCTACCGCCTCTCCCATCTTATGCATTTTAATAATCAACTTTTTGAGTTGCATTAAGAATTATTGATTCTTGGATTGCAAGTATTCTTTAAATTTATATCTTATTAAGCACTCTTGACTTCATAGCAAAACATTTGAAGAATCAAATATTTGCTTCCGCTCCTGTCCTCCTTTGCTTATAAAAAAGGCATTCGGTTTTTCCAGAATTTTTGTTGGAACTTCTGCTATAAATCTACATTTGCACAGAGGATAGATAGTCTATAAAAATTTTCCCCCTATTTGCACTCAAAGTAGTGACAAATTTAATTATGTTTTATGTTTGCACATGAGGTTAGTGGAAGGAAAGAGTGACCAAATGCATGATTCTGAGATAGGAAATCCAACATCAAACAATTTGAGAATAGCTGAGAACTGGAAGCATTATAATTTGATCATTATGAACGAATCCAACAAATTGGTAAACTGCTTAAAATGTTCACGGATAATTATAGGATATGGTAAATCATTAGATTATAATGAATCCAGTCGAAGAATCAAAACATCTTTTGTGTGCCTTTGTTTATTTAGGATTTGACCTAAGAGTTAAGTATGATAATTTTCCATTTCCCAATATAGAATAGTTGCTCATAATAACAAAACAGATTATAGTAGTTGAGAGAAGCAAAATCATGTTGATAATATCCTTCTTGTGTATCTCAGTTAAGAAGATCAATTGCAGATTAAAATATATCAGAAAACCAGTGAGGAAGATGAGGTTCCTAAATGGTTTCATCGGTAATTATGTTAGATACTTTAATCTGATTGTAAAAGTTACATCATTATATACTATGTTGTCATTTATGGTTGCTTGATGCGTGTTTCATATAGGGAAAGTATAAAAAAGACTGAAGCATACACTTTTAAGCACATTAACAAGGCATAAGCAATAAGCCTTGAATAATTAAAGCTTATGCATCAATGAGTTTGAGGGTGCTTTCACTTAGTCTTTTTAAGCTCCATGTGTGGCACTTAGCTAATCATTTCTTCTCCTGCAGCCATAGTTAAGACAGCCTCTCTTGTTTGGTGACCTGACAAGCACTTAGACAGAACCCTAGTAAAAAACTATAAAGATGAGAAATTAAAAAAATGGCAAGTATTGAAAGACAATAAAGAAAAATACACTCTTTGTATTAGAAACTCTCTAATTTGGTACAGAGTGTTTGCAAGCTCTCACTTGTCTCCATATAAGTACTCTATAGCTCTCTTTACTTAGACCTCTCTTTGGATGATTCATCCTATCCAATGATTAGGATTAGCCCTCTAGAGTTCTTTACGAATGGATATTCCAAAATACCACTAACCTAAACATATCCAAATAACCAAACCAAACGAATGCATATTCCAAATACCAAAATCTAGATGAATTGGATGCAAATATCAAATTTAAAAATCTATATCGACCGAATGCAAATATCAAATTCTAAAATCCATATCAACGGAACACAAATAACTAAATTTCAAATTCCAAATACCGAATTCCACATCAAGTGGATGTAATTACCAAATTCTGAATTTTGAATTATGTGGATGCAAGAATAAAATACCAGATTAACTACAAACAAAACAAACCAAATTCCTGAACACATAGATCCGAACCAAACCAAAACCAAATCCGAGAAAGAAAATTCAAAATTCAAAATATTAAATAACCTAAATAAAAAAATCAAACGAATTTTAAATTGCCCGAATGCAGAATTTAAACAAAAGTTGAAACATCAATAAAATCCAAAATCTCAACTTGGACAAACCTATACACCAAGATGCCTCTCGCAGCTATATAGAAACACCGAAAGCCTCTGTAGTGCTTCCGATCCATCAACATAAACAGTATGTATAGTACTTCCAAAGTGCAAATTTTCATCATCAAACACAATTATAAACAATAACAAATAGACTATAGATAAACTATAAAATCCTAGACTGCAACTATAGCAATGCAAAAGACGAAACTACCCTTCATAATATACTAAATAACGATTTTGATTTCTTTGCCTTTGGCGTTGTTTGCAAGTTACACTTCAAATTATTCTATTATGAATTTTCAAAATTGTTTATAGTTTATTAAGGATTGTTTTTGTAGCTTTTAATTTTTTGAGCATACGCCTCAAAATGCCTCGAAGCTTAGGCCTCTGACTCACAAGGGAAAAAAGCTACCCCATTTTCCTTTTTAAACGTTGTTGTCATTTGACTAATATAAGATATGATCTAGTGTGCCTCAGGATGATATATAGCATGTCAGGCCAATTTTCGGAGCTGAAAATGATTTTATGTGCCCCAACCAACTTGAGTTCAACTTCCAGACTTGTTGCTAGAGATGCTGATGATACATCTACTTCTTCTGATACAATGTCTAGTGACTCAGATTTCACCTTTCCAGCTCCTGTTACAACTCCAACAAATCTTTCTTCCTTCAATCCTGGTGCTTTCCAGCTCATAGTTCAGGATCTTTCAGCAGCTGAAAACTCAGGTCAGTCTAGTTTTCTTAAGAATCCCCCATCTACAATTAAAATTCTCTTGGCATTCGCAAATTAGCATTTGATCCTCCATCTTTTTATTCTCACTACCATGATTAAAAATCTTTCCACTTAACCATTTATCCCATTTTAGTCTTGTTATTGTAATGACCACAGAATTTCTCCTATAGGCCTTTCACTCAAGGGCTATTCCATTCATCCTTAGCATACATACTGTCTAATGGGAGTTAGACCCCAATATAGATTTAATTTGCATCCCAAGTGATTTGAACCTAAAACCTCCCCTTAAGACGAACTTAAGTTGAATTAGGTCTTGGATTCAGATTGCAAGGGATGTGTATTAAATCCAAGTTAGGGCCTAACCTCCAGTAGACAGCACGTATGCCAACATGTATGGCGTAGCTCCTGAGCAATAGGGCTTGTAGAGAAAGTCCGTGATCCTGTTACAAAAAACATATCCGTTCCAAATCTAAATAACTTTTGTTTTGGCAAAGTTGTAATAAGAAACTCCATTATACATTTCTTTTTCTCTTGATGGTTGGCTTGTGCAGGAACCGAACACTGGGAAAATGATCGGGAGGGGGCATTCGATGACTTCTTCTGATGCAAGTTTCTCTTTCCATTTGTTGTACCTATTTCTGTCCTAGCTTGATGTAGTTATCTAAATATTTACATTTTGACATTTTAGTACGTACATTGGTTCACATATAATGTCACCTTTATCCTGTCTTGTACAAAATACGTGTACATAAAAATTGTAAACATTAGCATTTATAATTCTTTTTCCATAATATATAGCACTAAATTCATTTTTCAAGTCTAATATAACTCTTGCATCTGCTTGATTGAGTGAAATTATAACTTCAACTTGAGATGAATTGATAATGTAACTTAGAAATTATATTCCACGCAGAAATCTAGAAGCTTGGCTTTGTTTTTAGTGTGATGATAATATTTCTTAGGGGAAGGCTGAAGACGTGTAGTAGTCTTCATCTCCTAGTCAAAATTTAATAACAATGAAATATTATTTTGTACAAGGAACCTTGTCCTTGACATGTTTATTAATAGTTTTTTTACTTGGTTACTAAAGGAAACATTTCCTTCCAGGTGCAACTAATTTATATTTCTAATAACATACATTCCCTTTTCTGTAACTACGATGATAATTAGAATACTGGTATATAAATCTTCATACATATTTTATGAAAAAGAAGCTAACTCGGGTTTCAAAACATATCAGTTTGGGATTAAGCTTCGATCTGAGCTTGTTAAATTTCTAAGACTTGGATCACTCAATGTCTAGTAGGCCAATTTTTTATTTTTATTATTTCATCCAGTGGTTCTTTTTTTGTTATCCTGCATTTTCTTGTAATAGTTGCTAGCTTTGTATGTAAATGTCCATAAAGAAAGATGTTAGTCCCCCTCCCACATCAGTACCAGTGGACGGCCCGCATAAAGCATCATCATCACCTGATCCTCCCATGTTGACTTTTCATCTTCCATCTCTTCGACCTTTGGTAAGACATTGAATTTCAGATTCTGTCAAATTTTCTTAATAGGCATGTATCTTCTCATTAGTTCTTACTGTGCCTTCCTTTATATCCTTCTTATTCGTATTCCGCAGATAGGTTGTTAAAAAGATATTAGGTAAATTTCCATTTGCAGAACTATACTTTCAGCCTTTATTCAGGATTGATTATTAGTTTTAGGAGGAATAGTATCAGGGACCACAAAATATATGGATAACAATGAGTAGTATTCTTGAATGTTTGGTGAGATTAAATTTTGATTTTGATCGAATAGAAAAAGTATAATTTAAGTAAAAGGGAATAAAAGCCAGACATAGGCTTACTCTAGTATCAATCTCGTAACTGTACTTCAATTTTTTAAATGGAATAACTACACTTTAATTGATTGAATCGGATAGTTCCATCCAATTCTATCATCTAAGTTGATGGAAATCAATGATGCAACAGCTAGTAATGATGATCGGCATTTATTTAATTAAAGTTGCACTTATTTTACATTAGCAACTAACGGCCACATGTGACGACCGTATTTATTGACTCTCACGTCACTGATTTTTCCGGTGGAAACAGACAAAGTTGGTTTAATTAAAATCAAGTGTAGTTACCCGATTAAAATCAAATTGGTTATTTGATTGAAGGAAAATTGAAGTGTAATTACCCTATTGAACAAAATTAAGTACTACTAGAATGAAAGTATAGTTGCCACAAACAGAATTATCATATAATTATTTTAGTAAAAAGCTTGAGAAAATGGTTGAATGCCATACTCAAGAATGAAGCATAAGTTTCCAAGATGTAATTTGCTACTTTTTCTATCATTCGTTGAGGATCATTCTTCCAAAATGTTTGACTCTTCTTGAGGACTGTATATAAGGATTCTGATTCATTTACAAGACAAAGTATGAAAGGTGAAACACTACCTATGGTTAAGACATAGGTGGACTTGTAAAAATCTGAAGTAAACCACAAGGTCCACAATTGGATTTGAACAAAGATTATGAATCCTCCTCTTTGTCTTTCCGTGCTTTTTTTGGTCAGAGTTCCAGAGAAGTCAATTGATAGAAAGATGAACTATCCCCCTCAGTTGCTTCCTATTGTATACGTACTGTAAGGTAAATTTGAAACTCTAAATTTTTTACAGTCTAGAAATATGAACACTGCCAACAGGAGCACATCCATTGACTCTCTCTAGACTATCTCTTTAGACGTTACAAGGTATAAATGATCTTGATCTTTTCACTTTTTGGTTGGTGGTTAGCTAGAAAAGTATGTTGGCAGTGGTTGAATTATTTCCTGATCAATTTAGAGTCTGAAAGTCACTCCAGTTTATGTTACAGATGAAGTAGTCCTCCAGTGGCATATCAATTTAAAGCTGGTATTTTTATTAGTACTGGGTCTTACGATTTCACATGTTAAAAAAAGAAGTGGTTTATGGATGTTGATTCGTATTAGGCTATGTCAAGTTCTGAGCTGGAGTACTGCTCTATTGATCTGGTGGCATACAACATACTTCTTTCTTTCCTTTTTCTTACAGAAGCATGTGTCTTAGCTGTATCAAGATAAGAAAATGGTAAAAGGCTCTTCCAAGAGTAACCTCCACAAATGTGTTGTTCGCTTTGTAATTACTCCTATTGTTTTGTGCATCTTCGGGTGAATCAATGGAAGTCCTATTTGGAATTCTACATATCAATAATGATACAATAGGAAAAAGAACTGTAATCTCATGTTGCTGCTAATTATTAATATAATATATTCGTATTAAGTAATTATTTTCTAATTAGCTTCCGGTGACATCAGTGAGGAAGAAAAGTTTAAAAACGAATATGGGAAAAATGATAAAGCTATGATTTCCTTAATCAAATTATATTAATTAAATAACTTCTTTGAGTATTGAAATCATTTAATGCCATGTATTTTTCCTAGCCTTATCATCTACTGTTAAACATGCACAACTAAATATGATAGCTATCAATTACAATATTCATTAATGGTAACCTATTAAATATGGTGGCATTCCTCATATTTCACTAGCATCCCACTCAAATTGATGCTTGTGAAAACGGTATGTATTAGTAACATCCCAAAGAATGAATTCTCAGAAATTCTGAGATCTGTTCCTTAATAGTCTTGTGTATATATTTTTTTTGCTTTCACAGTTTTCATCTTTATTTACTGTCATTTCTTAGTAACATGAAACTATAATGTTTCTTATAGTAGTTGTGGACAGCCATCTACTACTTGGTTTCTTAGTTATCCTTTTTATCTTTGTGCTACAAAATGGAAATTTCTGCTTAAACATTTCACCGGGAACTGTTAATGGAAATTTTGTACTTTTAATAGGCTTGAGCAGAAACTCACCAACTTAGAATCAGAAAATAAAGTTCTTCGCCAGCAGGCTCTAGCCATGGCTCAGAACAGTAAATTGATATCCAGAAGTTCAAGGTCAATTATGCAGGTATTGTAGAGTTTCAATAAATATGGCCACAAACATGTTATCAGGTTGCTTACCTCTCTTTGTTCTCATGACATGCAGAGGGTGGAAAGCTCAAAGACAAATGCTGTAAGTAAAATACATTTATGATACAATTAACTCTATTATAGATGCAGTCTGAGAATGCTGATACCTTGATAATATTGTAATAGGAATTGCATAGTACTACGATGAATGCTAGAGATCAATCAGATATGGAAGATAGACCTCAAAAATCTCTCAATGAGAAGCAACAAGAGTATCAAGATTTACTGATACGATGTGTTGCACAGCATTTAGGCTTTTCTAAAGGCAGACCTGTTGCTGCTTGCATTATCTACAAATGCCTCCGGCAGTGGCGTTCATTTGAGGCTGAGAGAACAAGCATTTTTGACAGGATAATACAAACCATTGGTGTTGCTATTGAGGTAGGAATCATAGCATCTAAATGCATGTTCTGCAAATCCGTTTACTTGTTTTATTTAGAATAACAGCCCCTTTATAACTTTACAAACTTTTCGAATTGAAGACTCAAGACAATAATGATGTGTTGGCTTACTGGTTATCCAATGCATCAACTTTGTTGTTGATGTTGCAACGCACAATGAAAGCTGGAGGAGGTGCTGGTGCAGCACCACAACATCGGCGATCACCATCAGCCACTCTATTTGGGAGAATGACTCAGGTAAGTAAAAATTTCATTTCAAACCATGTTTGGCTAAGCTTAAAAGAAGTTACCTTTTAGTTCCAAACATGTTCGTTTTAGTTACTTTTATCTTATTTTAATGAATTGTACATTTTTATGAATTAACTCTTACCTTATTGTCAAAAATAAGTAAACCTACTCATTTTCAAGTTTGATCAATAAAAGATTACTTTTTCAAAGCTTATTTATTTACTTTAACACAAACACTGAGCTTGCCAAAGATGCTCATAGTTGTTTTTCGTAAACATTTTTTAACCAAACCTTATTTATCCCAGAGTTTCCGCAGCACCCCGCAAGGCGTTAATCTTTCTTTACTAAATGATGATTCGGTCGGTATCTCACTCCAAGTAGAAGCCAAATACCCTGCTTTACTTTTTAAACAGCAGCTAACTGCATATGTGGAGAAAATATATGGAATGATCCGTGATAATTTGAAAAAAGAAATTTCTCCACTGCTGGGGTTATGCATTCAGGTATTTCTAATTGAACTTAACAAGTCAATACATTTCAGAAAAGCCGAAAATGGAGTTCAGTTATCATTTTCTCATTTACTACCCCACTTACTTTATGGGAATTTAATGGTATAGGCTCCAAGAATATCCAGAGAAAACTTAATTAAAGGAACAGCGCGCACACTAGCAAATGCTGCTGCACAGGAGATTTTAATTGCTCACTGGCAAGGAATCGTAAAGAGCCTGGCGAATTTTTTGAACATATTAAAAGAAAATCATGTAAGAACGATATTACCATTTCGCTTTGTGCTTATATAGATCTATTGTATTGAATTCCTATCATGTTGGTCCTATTTCTTGAATGACATAATTTTGATTGATGAAATCAATATTATTATCCAGCAGAATTACCTTGTCAACAATTGTAATCCATCTTTCTGGCGTTCAATTTTTACAAAATATGTGTGCCTATATGCATGCAAATTTGGTAGACCTCTGAAGTCTGCAGTTATCCATCAAAAGTACAGATTTATGTTGTTTCATGAATTAGTTTGTTACCATTGAGAATTGCGATGAATTTTACTTTCACCTTTAATGGTATTGACTTTCAATTTCACCATTATAATTGGAACTCAACGATGTGCCTGGCTAACTTCTTTCCAGTATGTTTGTCTATCATTTCAAGTAATGTTATATCTTATGATGTGTCTTTTCTTCATGAAGTGATATTGCTTGATTTGATATGGATATATATCTACATAATCTATTATATCTTTATTTACATTCAATTTTTGGTATGCTGTTGACATAATTTATTGAATATCTATCTTCAGGTACCTTCATTTTTGGTTCGAAAGGTGTTCACACAAATATTTTCTTTTGTCAATGTGCAGTTATTTAACAGGTATTACATTTTAGGCATATAGTCATGTGCATATCGTATGGACACTAATCTATCAATCTAAGAGGCTAATGTTGTTTTCCTTGTTACAGCCTTTTACTAAGGCGAGAATGCTGCTCATTCAGCAATGGTGAATACGTCAAGGCTGGATTGGCCGAACTGGAACATTGGTGTTACAAGGCAACTGAGGAGGTATTTCTTATAGTGAATTTATGATTCGGCTCGCTTTTTATATACCTGCTAAATTGGAAGCATTCTCCAGTATACAGGTTCCTCTTGGGATGAGCTCAAGCATATAAGACAAGCAATTGGATTTCTGGTATGGTTCCGATTTCTTCAGTTGATAAAGACATTCATGTTGCTAGTGCTAATCAAATAGAAAACAGAGCAAATTGTCAGCCTAATATTTTTGTCCTTTACCCAAGGTATCCATGCATACCATAGATCGAGTCACGCACTAACAAATGGGCAATGGGAAAAAAGTACATGGAAGGAGCAAATTTATGGAGCAAATATGTTAGTGTATCACAAGCGATTTGGCTAATTCTTGCTCTTACAAAATGAGATTATTTTGGGAAAATGCAGTTCCCTTTCTTCAATGGTATGCTTGGTTAGGACAGGATATCATTGGACCGTACTAGAAAAGAAAAAAAAAATTGAAATATTGTTAATTGTATTGTCTAGTCTGGTCAATATTGCATAGCAAACATAACTTCAATTCTTAAATGTATACACAATTTGATCACTTCTGAATTCATGCAACTTTATGACAAGATCAGGAGTTGCCCCCTCTTAGCACCAATCAAATAAAACTCTTACAAAGAAATAAAAAATAAAGATTTAAGAATATAATTATTCATTAATCCATAATTGTTAGACCTAATAATCATTTTGAACCTTCTGATTACTGAAACAGGTCATACATCAGAAGCCAAAGAAGACTCTGGATGAAATAAGTCATGATTTATGTCCCGTAAGAAGTTGTACATACTTTTCTTAAATAATCATCGCTCTGAAATCCACATTCATTGCTCAGAAATTCTCTGCAATCTGCAGGTGCTCAGTGTTCAGCAGCTCTACAGAATCAGCACCATGTATTGGGATGACAAATATGGCACACACAGCCTATCTCAAGACGTAAGTTCTAATTGATGCTTTATAATCATGCTGTGAATTATGAACATAGTATCTGATAAAAATTACAACTGGTATTAATGGTATGTATTGAACCTTCAACTGGTATGTATTGAATCTCCTCCATTAAAAAGCTTATGCAATTAGAGAGGGGATACATTTATTTATTTAAATTTAGTCTTCAACATGCCCCTTTCATGCAGGACATATTCATCTTTTGCCAAAGATTTCATAGGTGCACAGTTTTCACAAATGATCAATGGCAAGACTTAAAATTCCACTTGCTTTGGTACCCTGTAGAATAAAAAATGTGTGTGTGAGGGAGAGAACACATTTATTTCAATTTAGTTTTGAGCAGTATGATCAGATACTGTGACTTCTCATTAGTACTTTTTATATGCTTCCTTGGATGGAAAGATTATAGGATGTTTCTTCTTAATGGGGATCACCTAACTCTATATCTATGTTCTTCATCACTCACTCATTTGCATAATCACTTTACCGCAAGAATTTCGCATGTCATCTGTTAGGAATCCTGTATATGGAGATTGACAATGCAGAGTATATTAATCAGCAATTTTGTCTTTGTTGACTCTCATTTGACAGGTTATATCTAACATGAGGGTATTAATGACTGAGGATTCAAACAATGCCGTCAGCAGTTCATTCCTGCTAGATGACGACTCAAGGTTGAACATAAAATGTTTCTCATCCTATTTATGCCGTTGGATTTTATTTTCTCTTGACTTTTTTAGGTTAGAATTTCTTTCTTCAGTTGTTTATAACTTAATCTCCATTCCATATTGCAGCATACCATTCTCAGTAGACGACCTTTCCAAATCAATGGATCGATTTGATATTTCAGACATTGAACCACCACCACTTATTCGCGAGAACTCAGGCTTTAGCTTTTTATTGCCACAAGTGGAATGATCACTCCTAATCAAATTTCCGTCTAAATGTTTGCCAATACATTCTCATTAGTGAGGATACAAACCGAAAGGTCATATTTCAATAATGTAGTGAATGAACCATAAAGAACCTCACATTGTTTGATGGAAGTTATCCCATCTAGACAAGATGAGAACCATGTGCTCGAAATTCAAATTGGCATCCATTTGTGGTTGGTCCAAGTGCTTGTCTGTTTGTCCGAGGCAGATTATTTTAACCAGGTGGAAAGATCAAACTAATCATCAAATGTTGAAATTTTTTAGTTCACGGTTCTCTTTTGGAAAAGTGAGATAGTCTTTAATCTTTGATGACTTTCCATATATCTTTTTAGTACATCTTTTCCTTTCTTTTACATTGAAAATCTCGATATGAAAACTCGTAGTGATGCATGAGGTAGAAACCGAGCACTCAATATGTTGAAACTATAGGAAGCCATCCTTATTTATGGACTTTGCAGTGTATTTCCTTATAAATAGTAATGAAAAACTTATTTTTGATTCTTACTTTCGAATAAGTGTTAGTTTGAGCATTTCAATTTATGCTACTGGTATTTGCTGCTTTTGCAGCGACATCTTTGTGCCTTGAAGTAGACAAATATGGTTTTTAAGACATGGCTAGAGAGGGACATGAATTTCGTTTCCAACTTGAATGCCTTTGGGACATGACCAAAGAACAGTTGTAGGTTTAAACTGTATTGTTTGGTAGCATGTCTAAAAGACAGGTTTACGAGGGACTACAAATATTTCTTTTTATTATTTGTCGTTGATATTACAGGATTAAGCAGAAATTTGATGAATTTGGCAAATTCATTTCGTTGACTTAGTTAATTGTCTTTGTATGGTCATATTGAGAGGGTAAAGTAAGAGAAGATGTCTGTTAAAATATGTTTTACAAATATTTAAACGGATTCTCATTCTTAAAATGACAGCATCTAGATCAAACAGAAAATGTAGGAGTATATCGAAATTAACATTGTGATAGAGTTATAGATTTGATTAGATTATTTAAAAGGCGGTCAATTTTTCCATCCAATCATTTGTTGCCGCCTACACTTCTGTCGCTGAGTCTATCAAAATCCTTTGGCAAAGTGGCAAAATCCAATAATTTTAGAAGTCCCTGCTTGAGTTGTCAAGAGCTACTTAATAATTCCATCCACTAGATTTAACCTGCATTTAGCCAAAATGGAACCCCGCTTACTGTTTAAGCAATCTCCAATTTTAGTAATAGACAATTTACTGCCAAACAGTAGCACTTATATAATGCGTTCTTATTTCAAACTTGACTCCAAGTTCAGTATAAAGCAATCCTTCACTAAGTCACTTTTTTTTGGGCAAAAATCTGCATCTTTTCCTTCCCTTCTGAAAAGTAGTAGTTTTTGTTTTTCCTTTTGAACTGGCTTCTTTTTCTTGTTTTGAAGAGAAATTCATGGAGAAGTGGGATTGTGAGAGGTTAAAGGGGAAATGGGATACTGCAAATGTAAGCATTGAGAAAGATCTTACATTTGGATTTTCATGGCCTCAAAGGAACTATTATTGCAGCTTTTGCAAGAAAGAGTTCAAATCTGCACAGGCTCTTGGGGGTCATATGAATGTTCACAGAAGAGATAGGGCTAGAATGAGACTGTCTCCTTCGTGGGAATTTCCAGACTCAAACTCTAAAACCAATTCTAACCCTAACCCTAACCCTAGTTTTTCTTCATCATCATCTGCAACTAGGTTTTCACCTTATAATGTGAAATGTAATTCCTCTCTTTCTGCCTTTTCTTCATCACCAACTCCAGCCACTGATCGGCATTTGCAGCGAGATGAAGTTGCAACTCCTCTTGAAGGGGATATGGGCAAGAATCTGAAGAAAGGAGCCTTGCTTCGGGTCAACGATCTAACGGGATTTTCAAGTAGCAATGATCCTAGGATTTGGAGGGCAAAAGAGTTGGTTAAGCTGGATTTGAACAGGGGTTTAGTCCAACATGCAAAGGAGGATTTGGACTTGGAGCTTAGGCTTGGTTACTCTAATTAGAATCAAACTTCCATAGATTATCTAGTATTTGATTTAAGATGTTTATTACAAGACTTCTAATTTTTGTGATTAATGGGATGCTGCTTGTGAATTTCCCAGCATTTTCTTCACTAATTTCTAGGAAATCTGCAGATGAAATGTAGATCAAGAAATTAAGGCTGGATCTTGAGAAAGTGTATGCATGATACTGCATCATTAATATTGTCGATCAAAGTTCTGTCGGAATTTCCATTACACAACTATATTTAGTACTCAAATCTCTTAATTTTAGCTGAATTTGTCTCTTAAATTGTTGGTTTTTGCCAAAAATGTCATTCTATTAGACGACACTAGATAATACTACTTCCTTAATACTTTCAAGTGCATTTAATCCATGTTAAGAACGAAAGTGCAAATTATGTTTTGCTTTCAAAAAGCATAGAATTAAGAATGCTAGCAAGTATATTCCAAATCAAATCAGCTAGATTTTATGATCAAACAATCATGTCTTTCATTAATGCGTCTACTTCAAGGAATAATAGATCCAAATTAATATCACAAAAAATCATGAGAGCCATTGCAAAACCCATCAAATGAGTCATTCCACCGCCCACTGGCAGCTCCTTCACCGTATTCCAAATTCAATGGTTTTTATTTATAAAGATCAACAAAAAGCTCCCGTCTTCTTGTATAAGTAGATAATCATTATGAGTTAGAAGTAAATTATGCAAGAATTCCCATAAACAAGAACCAATTTTACTTAATATTTCAACTCTATGATATTTTTATAACACTGATAAGGCTCGTTTTTCCAAGAATCAAAGGGCAATCATGAATGCATTAAAGGTGATGAATTACATAGGACTTTTCAGTACATCAAATTTAAACTCAGGTTTAATCAGTTTGCCTACAAATCATTAAATTTCTATCAAGAAAAAGAACAACACAGGACAGTTCATATAATATCATGGAGGGGACATAAGACTATTTCTTTCCTGTTTCAGATATATATTCATACACATACAGAGAGACTAAACAGTATATTGTATTGTTGTGTAGCATAAATGAAGGATAAACTGCTAGTCCTAGTACATTTTGGCTTGTCATACTTGCAATGGTATTTTGGTCTGTGCATATGGAAGGGATAATATCAGTTTCCAATGTATCTGTTCCTTTGCATCTTCCCAATGAACTTCTGGGTGTCAGTGTTATGATGCCTTTCTCCTTATGGAAATTGATATTCGGCCAATAAATTAGGGTTCATCATGGTAAGTGATTGATTTTGAGTTTTATTTTTTGAGCATGTTTGGCCAAGCTGGAAAAATAAATAAAGTTATCCAAATACAATTCAATGACTAGTTTTTATTCTTTTCAAAAATATTTCTTTCTTTAACGTCAAAATATTTCTTTCACCAACTTCTGATGAATATAGAAAAATTATTCACATCTGTTGATTTGTTAAGAATACCCGAACTTAAAATTAATAAACTGAAAATTTTGCAAATCTTATGAAATAAATCCAAATGCAAGATATATATATGTATGAAAATTACTGTAAAGTCTAGAGGTTACATATTCCGTAATTTAATCATTTGACCTCTAAAATGAAGGACTTTGTCACAAGGGCTTCACGCCTATTGTTTACTTAGAAGCCTTTTCCTAGTTTGAATAATAGAGTCGTTCGTCCAAGTATATATAAACTCAGTTGACCATGGTCAAATTCAAGTTAAGCCCCTGTTAGATAAAAATTATTTGGGAAAATAATGTTTCAATAGTAAATTTTTGGAAAATGTGGAGTTATAGAGTAGAAAAAAATTTGTGTTTACGTCCAAAACATTTTATTATATGACTGTGATTGAAAATGAGTATGTCGAAAAAAAAGTTTTGAAATAATGGTTACCAAAGAGGGGCTAAATGTTATTTCGGGTCTAAATATACTTTGTGATTTCCATATAAAAGTAATATAATCAAATAACTAAAAGGAATCCGATGCGGACCTACGTAGCAATAGTAGTCACAAGACCTATACACAATTGATTCAACCCAAGAAAGTCAAGAAATCAAAGTTTAGAGTTTGATCCAAAAATATTAAGCCAAATACCAACACAATCGCCTATAATATGTTGACCTCGTGATCACAAAACTCAAGAATCTCATCGGATTGTTTAAACGCTACCAGGAACAAATCTTTGTAAGTTCCGAATTAGTTCAATAAAGATCAAGAATTGAAAGCAAAAATATGCTCACAAATTAATCTCTCAATTGTATATATAATAAAACTTGTTCTACAATGAAAATAAAGAGTTCTATTTATATGGAACTCATAAAACCATAGTTTACACGGAATTAAGATCTAAAGATTACAAAAGATACCAAAAAATAGAGTTTTAACATAATTAGAAGATTACTGAGATTTGAAAAATTCGCGTAATTGAATTATACTATGTGGCCGCATAGTTCTAACTAGGGGTGGGCGTGGGTCGGTTCGGTTCTAAAGAGAACCGAATCGAATCAAAATTTTCGGGTATCTAGTAAATGGAATCGTCGGGTCCAAATAGAATTATGGAACCGTTTGGGTTCGGTTCCGTTCGGTTATGTACTATAATTAAAATTTTTAACATTTATAACTACATTATATAAATACAACTAATGATACATTCAATGGTTTTGGAATGCCATAGACTAGTAGACTACATTGTTCAAATGATCGCTACGGTCAAAATTTCGGTCGACGAAGGTCACAGTTTCGATTGGAGGTCACGGTATCGGCCGACGATTGTATATGTTTTGAAATGTCAGCGAGGCTGCGAGAGTGAGTGCGAGAGTCGAGACAATGTTATGCACTTTAGTGTATGTGTTTAGAGTTATTTAGTAGATTGAATCTTGTTGGACTAAGAAATGAAACAATAAAATGGGTAATGGGGCCAAAAATAAAAAATTAGAAATGAAACAAATTATTGGAACAAAAATTTGGATTTAGAAATTGTTAATTTGTTTAAAAAAATTAAAATTAAAATAATTTGATTTACTCAATATAAAAAAAAAATTAGAAAAATTAGGTTCTTAGTCTAAAATCGAAAACCGAACCGTACCCGTTGGTTTTCAATTCAAATACCCGTTCGGGTATTTAATTTGACAAGAACCGTCGGGTTCGATTCGGGAGATTTGCCCAACCCTAGTTCTAACCTGTGGGGTCACCTCAGTTCCTTACTGAAATTTTCTGCATGCAAATATGCAACCGCATATCCCATTACACTATGCTACTGCATATTCTGCAACTCCTCTGTCTGTGGCTTAAATCAAGTTGATCCATCGTGTCTCGTCTTCAATGCTCAAAACGAAACTTGTCTCTTTGCTTGCTATGATTAATGCTTCGTCTACCGTGGTATGAGCAAGTAGTCTCATAGCTTCTTTAATCCTCTTCGCTCGCGACCTAGTCATAGGCCCTTCTTCAACGATTGATGGATCCTCGCCTGGACTTGCATTCATGCCATGGATCACATCAAAACCCAATCTTGTAGGTATTGTAATTGATTTCCAATATACTTTCTTATGTTTCCAATAGCTACTAATTATAAATTATATTGCAAATTAAGCTGTACTAGTAGACAAATATAAGTAAACAAATAGTATGGAGGGACGTCCCCACCACAGGTGAAAAATGGAAGCTCAAAATAGATGCGTTTATGGGGAGGATGAGAAGCTGCAAAAGGGTATGTTTTAGTGAAAGAATAGAGGACAGGCGTGGGAATGGGATAAAGGCAAACGTCACCACCATGAATTAATGGTTATCACTTTCCATTCACTCAGTTCCATAATTCCTTCTACTTAGCTTTCATCTGCACACGCCCATGCAGTTTACTCAAGTTTAAACATAACCATTCAAAACCCATATTTTTTTTTTCCTTCAAATTTACAACTTTTGAGTTCAAATAAATGTTTAAAAATGCTTTGTTATAGTATTTTTAAAGGAGGTTTAGCTCCTTTAACGTATGTATGGTGCATTGGATAATTTGGATGTAACATTGTCAGTTCCCAAAATAAAAATAAAAATATAATAATAATAATAATAATAATAATAATAATAATAATAATAATAATAATAATAATAATAATAATAATAATAATAATTGTCCATTTTGGAATTAATATGACTAAAATTAGTTGTACCACTCTGTTTGAATTAATTTAAGAAGATTGGACTTTGAAGTTTCATCTATAATAAAAGTTTTGAACCAAAATCGAGAGCTTATAATATCTACGTTTAGTATGTTAAATTAGCTAGAATCAAGAACATAAAAAAAGTTGAAATTTTTATCCTTGAGATATCCAATTCTACCATATGATTTCGTTATATGAAACGTCCCTTGTAACAATAAGGGAGTTAAACTAAAACTTTCTTTAATGTGAAATAATTAATCTTTTGTTGTAAATCCATCACATTAATAAATTGAAAGTTCTAAGTGTTGTCACTATGTTAGTCATCCACAAATACAATACTGATCAACCTTCTACGTCCACAAAGACCTCATACACCACGACTCGTATAATTGAATAAGTGTAGACTATTATAGCAAACAATTGGCATGTGGAATCAATATACCTGAATTAGAATATAATCAAACATATTCGTTTATTTTTTGAAAATCAATATTTCTAGGAAACTCACTCCCACTCATTTTATGATCCTCTAGAAATTTTACATTTCTAGTTTTCGACAATCTTTGGAGTACTTAAAAAGTTGGTAAGAATTTAAATTGAAGTAAAAAATTAACTTTAATCACACATTTTATGAGATTTACAATTTTTTAACTGTACATTTTATAATTTTTTATCGAAATATACTAAAAATCTGATTTTTAGAGAAATCAAACGGGGGCTTAGAGTAAATGTTTTCTTTTATTGTAATTTGTAACAACATAAAAGCTGTAGTTGGTTTTATGATTTTAATTACTCCAGATTCTCTTATTCAGTTTTTTGGGGTTAGTTTTTTTGTCTCAATTTTTATTTTAGAAAAGTCTAAAAATGAATTTAGGTCTTGCAAATTTGATGACTTTAAGTAAAATTTTCCAACAGGAAATTATGTTTACGGGTATGCCTCTTTGTGACTATCAATAACTCATAATAAAGGGTATAATGAATGTTTGTATTTTGTTGTAATATTCATAAATTCTCCACTTGACAGTATTCGAGTGAAAAAATATGTCTCTAATACATAGAGGGCACATTGTAATAGAGATTATATATATATTTTTTTTTGGCAACATTCTCATTCCTCATTAGGTACACAAATTGGTAATCATTTTTTGGAATTAATTCAAGATTTAAAAAAAAAAAATGGAAAAATTTGTATTTATGTCATTAAAAAATAAATTTTCAAATTATACTATGTTATGTAAATAATCCATGATATGTGAATCTTGGTTTTCATGAGGTTATATATAAAATTCCTGATTTTGGTATCGTACACATTAAAAAAAAATGGTGAATCACTGAATATATATTATACACACAGTAAAGTGATTTTATGTATTGCAGAAAAATGGTGAATCATTGAATATCTATGTATGTTGTAAACGTTTTTATATATTGCAAAAAAATGGGGATTTATCTATGGGGTGATTGTGATTTTCTGGAGTAAGAGATTCGGGATTTTGAATTTATTCGTATATGGTTTTATGGAATCCTGGGTTATCTTTGATAAATACTACAATTTTGGGATTTCGACAAAATAAAATTGGGGCTTATTTGATGAAGTAATAGAAACTATCCAATAAAATCAATTTATATATAGATGTTTATTGTTTTTTGTTTTTACTTAGTAAAATGCAGTAATAATGGTATAAAAGTTGTTGGAATGTATTATATGAATTTTTATTTTAAAATGGGTAATACATGTAATTTCCTCTTAAAGAAATCAATATTAGGGGCCCATTTGACATGACTTTTGAAAAGTCAAAATGAGTTTTGAAATTCAAAAGCTATTTTCAAATTTGTTTGGCTAATTTTATGAAGTGTTTCTTCTAGTTAAAAGGACTGTAGAAGAAATTAGTTCAATATGACTTTTTCTAAAATTACTTTTGAAATAAGAAACCTTTTTAAAAATTAATTTCTTAACAAAAATGAAGGTCGTTTATTCAGGAAATTCTTCTACGTAAAATAATAACAAAATTTATGTCACACAGAGCCTAAGTTCCACAAAAGTTATTGATGTTACATCCATACGATGCTAAGAGATCCAAAGGGGGAAGTGGTCTTAGGATTAATGAGGAAGCCTTGTCCCAAGAAGGTCAATAACAAATTTCTACATTTTACTAAGGGTTGGAAATGGCCCAACCTGTAACGGGCTCCTAAGGAAAACAGTGGGCTTTAGCCCAGATTTAATGCTTATTGGCTGTTAGGAGTAGCAAGGATTTTAAAATACCTAATTCAAAATGAAAGTTTTTTATTCAAAAATCAAATAATTTAAACTATTTAATACTTCATCCATCTCATTCATATAGACTGACTTTCTTTATTTTCTTGTCCCAATTATATAATCATGTTTTCTTATTGAGAAAGTTTTGTTTTGTATGCTTACTAATGTACCCTTATTTAATTTTTTTAAAAATTTATTTAAGGTCTCCACTTGGTATCCTGTTTAGTTAGGCGGAAATTCTGTCTAAATTTTTTAGAAATATGAAATACCTTGTCCTCATTCTGCACCCTCAATATTAATTAACCCCGTGACACATCAATAAGAACATCAAGAGTGACTAAAAAGGATCAACTCAAAAGTCCCTGAATCCTCAAACATGTCAAGAAATATCACAACATCCTCTATCACCCTATATGATTTTCTGATCAAACCCTCTACAAGGACAGGACTAATGACCAACTTATTTCCAGGCTGGTGCGGCTTCATTTAAAAAAAAAAAAAAAAAACAATTTAAATTCTGTATTGACTTCAAACCCTGTATACCCACGGACAAAACCATACCCACTGACCCGTCTCAAAAGCCACACCCATCTTCCCCAAATTGAAAGAATTTATCCTCTCCTAAAGAGTTTCTCGTGACCAACAAATTGAAATTTACACAGCACTCTCACTTGGCCTCACATCACGATCTTCGGCGTCAACTCAGGCGAAGGCGTCGCACCACTCCGTTAGCAACTCCGTTGATTTTTTTGGACTGAAAACGGTTCGAATTCGGTGTCCACATTTGAAGACGGCTTCACCTCTGCTCTAACTACACTTCAAAACATGATTGTGCCGGCACTTGCTTTACCGTATCCGGCAGACTGCTAAATCAGCACTACAAGCATCAATATCTCCCGACATTTTTCAACTAATGTTCTTTCCAGAGGTATATATGGAAATCACCCCCATTTCGTAGCTATGTGAAGAAATTGCTCAAATTTAATGGCTACCTTAGCTGGAATTTTTAGGACATAGTGTTTAACCATTCAATCTCTTCCATTAGTTGTGTTTTGTGATTTGAATTGCTGGACTTGAGAGTAGAAAAGAAATAAATGAAGACTGTTATGGTTTGAAATGCAAGACTTGTGGGTTGACTACAGAAGTTGAATGATTAATTTAATTTTGAAGTTGCCCAGTATTTATATACTGAACGTTTTCATTTCTTTTTGTGTGTTCTAGTGAGCTGTGAAGCTGAATTTAATTTTGTTCTGGTTGACCTGATCCATGGTTTTTAATCTTGTAGAATGGGTGGAAGGAATTATGGAATATGTCATAGCTGTAGAGCTAAGGATCACTTCTTCGATGAATGCCCAAAGAAACGCTGATGCCCTATGTGCAAGAATGGATTCGAGAAATGTTTTGTGGTGGAGAAGGAGACCAAAAATAAAGGGCGACTATTTCTTCGATGCAGTGACAACTGTGGATTCTGGGATTGGGTTGTGAAAGAAGAATCCAACATTCAACCCACTAATGACAGCGTTTCCTCAATGAATCCTACGACAAACAAAGGAGTTGAAGATATGTCAAACATGTTCAAATCTCAAGTTCGCCTCAATGATGACGAAGAACTACATATTTCGATGAAATGAAAGTGGCGATCCGCAAGTCCAAAGGAAGGTAGAAGGGAATGGGAAAGGGAAGGGTTTGTCTTGATTAGTAGATAGTAATCGAATGGGCCATGACGTGAAAGTTCCCACACTGTCCAAATATTCGCATGAAGGAATTTAGGCAGATCTTATTTATTTTTATCTTATCATGTAACGTTGGTCCTTTTGTCTCAATATTAAAAGTCTTTTATGTTGAATTATTCAGGTTTGCAAATCCATTAGTTATCTTAGTATATTGCAAATTGGATTTGTTACACATGATATAATTACAATAAAACTTTACTAAGACAAAAAAATGTCTTCCTCAAAAATCTGGTTACAGTTGCTGGAATTGAAGTTGCTGCAATTCTTACAAAAATCTAATTACAGTTGTTGGAACTGAAATTGTAGCTATTCTTACAAAAATCTGGGCACGGTTGCTGAAACTGAACTGAAGTTGCTGCTATAATTATACAAAAACTGTACTAAGATAAAAAATGAAGGGCTATCTATTCTTAGTTGTTGGAATTGAAGTTGCTGTTATAGTTGCAATTGCCTCTGCTGCTGCAACTGAAGGGCAAAAAAATGCTCCAGATCTTGCCCCGTTTGATTGACCACCATGACACATGTAAACATCTAAGTGAATACAGTGCCGTGTTAATTACATAACTTAAAAACTAACAAATCATCATTCCAGCCAAATAAATTTTGATATGCAAGCGATGCCAATTTCTTTCACCAATTTCTTTCACTTTAGGTACCAGGCATTACTCATAGAGAGCACGAATCAAGCAAGAAGAAAATTCAAGAGAAAAATTAAAGCCAAGGAATGCATGATCAGACATAAAGTAAACTTTTTTTTCATCTAAGGATAGAGTTCTAGGACCATGTAAATGCTACAGAAATAGATGCTGTACATTTCCAAGATGACCAATTTGACTTCACACTTATCATATTGAGAGTAAAGAGGGATCAACAATTACACTCGATATAATAGGATAACCAACAATGCTGAATGTCTGAACCAGTTTGACCCAAACTGAAGAGAAAAGATGAGTCATATCTTTACCTAAGCCATACAACTGACAAACGGTAAGACCATCATTCTGTCTTGTAAGCCCACCCATGTGTCTCCAGAAACACACAGCTTCTTTTATGGCTAAATTGGGCACCAACTGTGATGAATACAAGGGTTCTGGGCGAACTGGATCAAAGTTGCCAACCTTAAAGATGACAAAGTTAAGGATTAATACATGACACTGGACGATAAATATGTGCATATAACTAAATGGAAATGACAACTGAATATCATTTAGTGCTACCTTCTGCAGATGATCAAGAATTACTGCTCTCTCATATTTTGCACACTTTTTCAATCTAGACTTGCCTATAAAAAAAAAAAAAAAAGGAAGATCGATCACGTAATTACCTCAAGTATAATATATAGGTGCACAAGTAAAGAGAACTTAGCGTTGGACAAAGAACAAACAAGAATGTGCATTTTTTACATAAGACAAATCTTAAATGTAATATGAAAACAGCTTTACCAAAAAACGTAATATATGCCACAAACATGGTAACAGAAGACAATTTTTAAATATAGTAGTTTCATATGAAGATAACAAGAAGGTGCTACCATTAGAAGCAATTTGCATAGTACTGTAGTACAAGTAATCTAAGTAGAAATTTGCATACCTTACTTCTACCTTTCTTATTTGACTATCAAAACACCCCAAAAACTGACTACTCCATGAGGCTCCCCAAGCCACCGTGTTCTGGTACACTTGAAAAGTAGCGCGGCATTACTTGACCTATAATACAATAACAACATTAATACGACCATACATGGGAGATTTACAAAGTTGAGGTAGAAATATGCGTGATACGTTCACACCTTGAGAAGTACACATAACGTTCGCCGGCGATGGAGGAATCAATTTTGAAGACGGCAAGCCCTCTGAAAGGGAGAATGATGGTATGATGGAATATTGTGGGAACCGTAACTTTCCTAGTGTAGTCATCAATAATAGACGGGAAATACCTATTACCACCTGATGTGGGGTTACTGGCAGGGCCCCAAAGGTCAGAGTGCACATATTCGAGCATGCCTTTAGCTCTATTAACACTCGTGGAGAAAGAAGTTTTGTGATGCTTACCAAGCACACAATGATCACAAAATGGCAAATCTGACACACAATCATTACCAAAAGCACCTTTTTTATTAAGTAGCTTAAGTCCCTTGACTCCTACGTGAGCAAGCCTATTGTGCCATGTGTGTGTGTGATCAATCTTGAGAGAGGAGATAGAGGAATTCATATCTCTAATCACTTCCCCAGTAGTAATGTATATATCGTTTTTCTTAATTCCCTTAATGGAAACTAAAGCACCCTTGATCATTTTTAGCATACCATTTCCAATTTTACCAGTAAAGTCATCCTTCTCAAGTCTCCCTACTGAAATCAAATTCCTAGACAATTCAGGAATATATCTAACATCCTTTAACGTATACACAAAATCTGTGTCAAATTTTACGTTTATGTCACCAATTCCAGCGATAATACAGGCAAAGTTATCACACAGCACAACATGCCCAACTTTAGATTCATGCAACTTACAAAACCAGTTCTTTTCAGACGTCACATGAAAAGATGCACCAGAATCAAGTATCCACTCATGGATGCGGGAATTAGCAGTTAGATTTAATTCAGCAGTGTATGCAGCTGGACTTGTAATCATATAGACCTCACCACCACTTATATCAAAAGTGGATACTAACACATTTACCTCATCTCTCTCCTTAGCTTTTAGCTTACCCTTCTCCTTATGACAATCCTTTATAAAATGTCCTGTGTTTCCACAACCATAGCATTTTCTCGCCTTAGTTCTAGATTTTGATCTGGACCTACTTTTACCCTTCTTTTTCCATCCATTACCACTTGATTCGCCACTAGTTTGATATTCCTCATAACTATTTTGACTAAATTGAGTTCTACCCCGCATCATATGTACTTCACCATTCCTTTTATCATTTTTTCAACCTTAATTTCCATTTCTTTACTTCTAAGGGAATCTATGACAATTTCAGGTGTTAACGTGTCTCTGCCATACTTAATGGCATTCTTAACTTCCTTATAGGAATCAGGGATTGCATTTAGCAAAATTATAGCCTTATAAGTTTCGGACACAGTCTCGTCACAATTAACTATGTCTTGCACCAATTTGTTAAACACGTCTAGATTGTCATCAAGATCCTTTGAAGAATCCATTTTGAAACTGGAAAAACGTTCAAGCAGGTAAAGCTTATTAGGTGTAGATTTAAGCAAATACAAGTCTTCTAATTTCTTCCAAAGTTCTTTGGTGTTTTTTAATTTACCCACCTTTCTTAAAATAGCGTCAGACAAGTGTAAGATAATTGAGGTATAAGCAAGCTCATCGGCTTCTTCTTTTTGTTCTTGTGAAAAATCAGTTGAAAAATTGCCTTCAATGGCTTTTGAAACCTTTTGTTGGACTAAAATATCCTTCATTTTTTGTTGCCAAATAGCAAAGTCACCATTTCCGTTAAAAATTCCCAAATCAAAACTATGAGTTGTCATCTTCACACAATAGCCAAAAAAATGCACAAACCACAATCAAACCACACAAAGTAGTCCTAGGGGTCACAGATAATATACTCCGCTCTAGATTCCCAGGGTTTCGTAAGACTCGCGGTCTTAGATTAAGAGAATGTTCGAAAGGGTAAAGTCACGGTATTTCTAACGGAATAAGTAAGCAGCGGAAATAACAATGTAGCAAAAAATACGTCTAGCAGATAACTAGTCCCACAATAATTTTGATCACTAAGAATTACAAAACTGATTTTAAACCCAAAAACAAATACTCAATCAAAAGGATCAATTAAGAGCACATAACCCTAATTCTAGCACAAGCAATGGTTTCCAAGCAATGACAACCCCCAACCTATTGTCACCCCACACGGTGACGCGCTAATGCTGAAAAATTAACGGGTTAAGCCAATTTACCAGAGCGGACGTGTCTGAGTCCGTATTATCGAGAGAGATGCGAATCTACTGCTTTAGGACCGCAATCTTGGCCTAAAGTAATTCAGTAGATATATGCAGATTCAACCGTCGATCCACCGGGGGCAAAATTGTCCAACTTTTTCTGTATAACCTGAAACAGAAAATAAACAGTGTCGGTACGTTCAGGGGATTAAAATAAGCAAACTGCCCAAAGGAAGCTCGCCCGGAACCGTCGCCACGCGCCGCCGCCGGAGCTCCACGCGCCTCCGCCGCCGCCACACGCCACAGCCGAGGGAGCGCCTCAGCCTGCTGAACCTAGATATGAGTTCGGTTTCGCCGAAAAGTGGCTAGATTGGCCGGAAATCAAGGTTGCAACCGCGGTTCTTCAATCCCAAATCGCGATTGCCGCCGATTTTTGCCAATTTTCAGGCCGGGAAAGCTTCTACTGGCTCTGATACCACCTATAGGACCGAATTCCACAGCAAGCAGTGCAAAACCGGGCTCAGTTTACCAAAAACATCGACACCATTGCTTGAGACAACTCTAATATCACCCTATGCCGCCACCGGTCCGGTTGCTATGGATTGGGAAGAAGAAGGCCAAGAAAATACCCACAATATATCAACCACAAAGGTCACAGAGAGAGGGGGAAGGAGAGGCCGAGAGAGAGAAGCTCACAAAGAGGGTTTATTTCACTCTAATGGAGGCCGAGAGAGTGAGGGGAATATATGCCAAGAATATTGTCCAAAAAGGTAAGTTACAATTAGGGCTAAGTGGTGGATCAACAAACAAGGCTCGACTCAAATAATTGGGCCTCAACAATAATGGAATGGTGCGGGAACCGTGAGCAACACTATAAAATAGGTTACTTCAAACGGTCCATAACAAAGTGGATTGTGTTGTCTCGTTAATTGTGTCGATGTGCTAATCAATCATTAGGCCGAGGCCGATTGATAATAAACAACCGAGATTACATCATCGCCCGGGGAGGTCGTTTGACAACAAAATTGCCTAACAAAGATGACCGACAAAATGTTGCTGGAAGTCTGTGAAGCTTGCAAATTTGTGTTCGAAAGTCGACCCTTTTCCCCGGATTGGAACACCTCCGGTGGAATTAATTGACGGGAGTTCCGGTTTCTATTCTGGGGGAAAATGAAGAATGTAGGTTTTGTTCCTTTTACTGACTAAGATGTAGAGTTTCCCCCCAAATTGGTAAGGGCGCGTTACACCTCTAATGGAATTAATTGACGGGAGTTCCGGTTTCTATTTTGTGGGAAAATGAAGAAAGTAGGTTTTTTCTCCTTCTACTGACTGAGTTTTCCCCCAAATTGGTGAGGGCACGTTTTGTTTTGTGAGAGTTTTTGTTTCTTCTAGCTTCCCTCTAAAATGGGTGAAGTCCCTGCCACGTTGTTTTGTTTTCTGAGACTATTTGTTTCTTCCAGCTTCCCTCCAAAACGGGTGACAGTCCCTGATTTTTTAAAACCCTGTCAATGACCCTGTTTGGGTAGATTAATTGTTTTTCGATTCATCAATATGCCAACTGAAAAGTAATATTTGCAGTGCATTTCCACCTACATGAGCTAGAACCAGTTATCTTCATTGGCACGCTAGAGAGAATTCACACAAACTGAATGATGAATTGGTGGCCTTAATTACCTTTAACACCTACTACCCAACTAAACTTCCTCTTTCTCCGTACGGAATTTAAAGATAAGTATTTCCACAAATATATCATTTAAGTTATTCCACACCATTTTTGCTTGACCACACATGATTTAGCAATCCGGGTATTCACTGACTTTTATATCGAATTCATCTCTAACGAAGTTTATTTTCAATATGTATGATAATAAGGTCACTAACATGATATTGATATCAATGTTATATAGACAAAACGATGACTCTTTATAATAGTTACAAGTCGAGTCTTATCAAATTTATACTCATTTTGTGTTTAAGTGTCATCAATGAAAATCATGATCAAGCAAGGCTTGGTGGGATACATTTAACTTTTCATACTTACAGTTGAAACCATTAGTAATTCCCACCCCCCTTTTTTTTTGGTGAGGGGGAGGGGAAAGGGGCCCATGTAGGGACGGACCTAGAAAAATTTTTCAGTGCCGACAAAAAATTCTCGAATCCAATGTGCACTTGTAAATGCTAAGTCCTTGCCCAAGCTCATTTAAATGACATAGTACAACATTCTCATGAACATTTGAGGATGGTAACAGATCCAAAATCTAAAGTAAGTTAAGGTAGTCGTTGAACATCGATTGTCAACGGCTATTTAAGAGGTCTTTACAAATGACAAAATCTCCGGACAATTACGATATTAGTCCTTCATTCTCACAAACCCAATTATAACATAGACGTCGCCAACAAGTAGTTAACAACAATTTTCAATTTCCAATTTCCAATTTCCAATTTCAAGAAGACAGTAACAAAGTATTAAGTCAAAGTCAAACAAGGGAATGAAGGGATTTAAATGAGTTAGTGATATTCTCGTTAGAACCTGACCATTTTAGAATTATCCAGAGAGCCAATGTGGGAGAAAGAAAAAATGTGAAGAATGAAAAGAAAAACAGAGAAGAATGGGAAATTTGAATGAAGAAGAAAGAGAAGAAAACGAGACGAGAGTGAGACGCGGTCAGACGGAGCAAGATTGAAACGAGAGTAGAATGAGAACCACCGAGCAAGATCGAAGGAACTAGGAAGAAGTCTTCAAGATTGATTTCGATTTCAATTTCAAATTTGTTCAACTACAGTTGGCAAGAAAAAATTCAATTCAAGCATGCTGAGGGTTTTACCTTCTTTGCGAGGTAGCAGGTTTGGAATTTTTTTTTTTTTTTTTCCTGTCTCCTTTTGAATTAAAGACAACCCTTTATGGTTCTGAAACTCTTCACATATGTATTCGAACTCCAAACCCAATTTAAGTTGTATGACTCTTGTAGAAAAATGTTAAAAGGGATAATGTTTTTCTCGTAGTTGTTAGGCTTCGGTTGCTTCAGAGTTTTCATTAACTGTTCTCAGTTTTCTTTAATTTTTGGGTTCGCCGGAGTTAGCCACTTAGCCCATTTTTGTTCTGCTTTAAATTGGGGAAAAACGATATCCCAGTAATTATATTGTAGTTCAGATTCAAGTATAAGTAATCGTTGAATGAAAAACTTTTTATTAATTGCACCCACTCTTCTCTGTTACAAATATAGAAAGTTTACATGATTTATTTATATACTTTCCTTATTGGCTCATCTTCAATAAGGAAACATTGATATAATATGGCAATCTCACTTCTCCACAGTTGGAAAGTTTCCTTATTGCCTCATCCTTAACGGTGTCTATATATAATCCAAGACCCATTAATTTCACAACTACGAGTGG